AATTTATCATCAAAGTTGAACAAATATTCAGTTCTAAAATTATTATTTAATTCGTCAAAAACAAAAAAAAAAAAATAAAAATTCGCAGGTCTTAGAAAATGAAGTAAAATTGAGAATAGAACTTACTTGTCATTAGAAACACTGCAATTAACCATAGTTTCACGACTTGTGTTAACAACTAAAAAAGGCAACTCCACTGCCGTAGTTTGGGCAGGCCTCCCACTTTTTTTTTCAAGTTTTTTATTTCTTTCAACTAAGTTTTTAAATGCGATTTGCTGTAGTATTAAATTATGCAAGTCTTGTGTTTTTTGGGAAATTCTCTCCAGTCTTTCTTTCTTTTCTCTTTCGCTATCTTTATCTGCTTCCAATATAGTCGATGGAAGTCCGATCCATCTTATTTCCTTTTTTTCCTTTGATATTATGTTCATTGCCATTAAAACATTCAAAGCATCGTAAACTCTTCTTCTTATATTTTTTTGATCATAATTCTGTTCAAACGATCAAAAAAATAAATTTTTTTTTTTTATAGACATAATAAATAACGAAAAAAGAAAAAGTTTTTGATTAGTATTTTTATATTAACCTGCTCTTGGTTTGGCTTATAAGGCGTGCCAGTAAACTCGGCAACTAATTCATCAGCTACTTCATTGTAAGATGTGGTTCCTTTCTGTCTGACCTTTTCGCAAACTTTCATTGAAAAATGACGAAGACCCTTTCCAAGTTTATCAGCTCTTCGTCGTTTGCTGTCATAAAAATAAGTATGCAAGTATTATATCAATACAAAAAAAAAAAAAAAAGAAAAATTTTAATCATTTAAACTTAATAACTTACTAGTCTGTCATTGATAGCGATATATCAGAATCGGTATTGATACTTATATTTTTCTTATTGGTTGAATTAAAAGTCGACTTGGCCAGTATTTTACCTTGGCAACCAAAAGATTGGCTCTGAGATGGTTTATTTATATTATTTGCTTGACTACTAATTGCCTGCTATCAAAAAAAAAAAATTCGAATCGTTAGTTAATGAAATAAAATTTTTTTTTTTTTTTCCACTAGTTTAGAAAATTTCGAATTAGTGAAAAAATAAAAATAAAAAAATAAATTACGCACTGCATGATATAAATAGCTGATAATAAACTTTGATTAAAAATTAAAGGTAATGATAAACTGGTTTAGGGTTTTATCAAAAATGTATTTGAACCGCATATAAAAGAATCACATTACTTCATATATATATATATATCATTTTATCTTCTCATTAGAAACCTACGTAAAATTCTTCAAGTCTCTTACTAACATTGTCATTATTTCTTTTTTTATTTTTAAATCTCAATTAAATCCACCAAGTTCTGATTATTTTATTCAAACATAAATAAATAACTAAAATATAATATATTAAAAATAAAAAAACGCCTTCCTCTTAATGACTTCTCAATTTTTAGTACCCAAACATTATTAAATTGTAAACAATTTCCAAGCATTTTCCGAGTTATTAAAAATGTCAAAGCAATAAAAAAAAATATAATGTTATGTCACAGGTAATTATTACTTTAAAATACTTGAATATTAAATTTATAACATACCAATTGTGTGGCTGTGAGTTGTACTGTCTTTTGTGTAATTGACCCACTGGATCCATTAAATACTTTAATTGTACTGCTTTGGGTTGGGGTTGAACCATATCGAGTCTTTACAAGAGTAGGACTATTTGTTCCAACCTAAAGTGCAAATAATTATATTACTTAGTTATTATTACAGTAGTGTACTCTTATTTAGAAAAAATGCACAAACAGTTTTTAAATATGATATGCAGTTGATAAATATTTTCTTTCAAATTTCAATTCCTTCAAACAATCGATACAATTAAGTAATTAAAAATGTTATTATATTCAACATAAAAACATATAAAAAATAATATTTTTCCCCCTGAATTAAAAAATATTATTTGCTCTAAAAATAAAATAGTGTTTACCGTAGAAAAAAAAATATTTTTACATCTACCCAAATTTACTTCTGCTTAACTATGCAAAAAAAATTTTTTTTTTTTTTCCTAATCAACTATTTTGTTTGAGGAACAAATATAACAATATAAATTTTAAAAACTCGTTTAAATTTTTACAAAACAAAAAGAAAATATTAATATTTTTAAGAGAGTTTAATAATTAAAAAGATTTTTTGAATAATCAAATTATAAATAAAAAAAAAAAAAAATTAAAAACAAATATATATATATATATTTTTTTTAATTTACCATATTATCATCTTCCAAAAATATTTTTCTAACTGGTGTAGCAGGCACATTTGTTTTAAAAATACTGGAACGAATAACAGATTTTCCTGGAGTAAATTTAGATCCTTTCCCACTTCCAGTGTGTAAAACCTTAATTACCTGAGGTTGACCTATCAAAAATTTTTAAAATTAAATTATTTCACAAAGTAAAAATATATTGAGATCACTTATTAATATTAATACATTTATAATTTTCTTGAAATAACAAAAAAAAATTTCAAAACTTTTTGATTTGAACTTAAAAAATAGCCATTATTAGAGAAGGGAAAAAAAATTATTGTTAAAATTATATTTAAATATTACTGAATAATGTGTTTAAAATGGCAACTAAACTTGAAATAGCACATATTTAATTTTTTTTTACTTGCCACCATTTATGTTAACCAATGTAAATAAAAAAATATTACAAATAAAACAAAATATAACTTTAAGTCTTTAAGTAAATCATGCATTGCTAACTTGAGGTTTCCAAGATTAACTTTATAATATTTTATAAAAATATTTAATGTAAAAATTCAAATATTAAATAAGCAGTTAAACGTAAATTTTGATGTAATTTTATTTTAAATTTTATGTGAAAATTTTAAAATTATACTTTAAAAAGTATTTAAAAAAAAAAAAAAAATTTTTTTTAAATAAGTTGCCTGAATTGGCTTAAGCATACATACTTTTTAAATTTAAAAAAAATTAAAAAAAAAATAAAAAACACAGATAATATTTGGTAATATCCTGTAGGTAATATCAAGTGAATTTAATAAATTTATTTTAATAGTAATGACTTAAAAAAAATTTAGATAATGTATAATAAAAGTTATGCCAATTAATCCGCCATGCATACGCACCACCAAGCCACGATAATATTTAAAATACCTCTTACCATTAGCATCATGTATTAAAAAGTTCGTTGTACTAACTGCTTCAGACATTTCAAAGTATTAAATTTTCTTTTAAAACTAATTTTAACAAAATACTACACTGATATACAGTAAAATTTATTTAATATTTCTCAACCACCTCTTCGATCAAATCAAAATTTATTACAAAATGGCGACTCAAGCTATGCATTATTTTTTATTCAAAAAATTTAAATAATACTTAATACACCATTTTTAATTAAAACGAACGTATAAAATTATAGTATTTGAGCTTTTACTTTTTTTATCCTAAATTTAATTTATGAAATATCTAACAAGACTTTGAAACTCGTTTCCTTCCAGAAAGCAAGCTTGGCGGCAGATACAGAAACAAAGCAGAGCAGCTGATTCGCGGTACTTGCATCATGTGACCTTCTTTTCAATAAGACATAGAGTATATAAACATTAAAATTTTACCCGTAGCAAAAAAACTCTTAAAAATATTTTCAAATTAAAAATATCATTTGTAATTACTGTTAAAAGTCTTTGAGATCGATTTTTGTTTATATTAAAAAATAATTTTTTAATGTATTTTGTATATTTTACCTGTTTTTTTCTAATTAATATTAGAGAAAAAAAAATTCGCGTTGTTTCTTTTGCTTAAGTCAAGAACACTTTTCAAGATTTTAGTCTTTTTTCTGTTGCTATAATTCAGTAATTTATTTAACCAAAGTATTAGTGCGAGTGAGAATTAAATTTTCTTCTGGTTGTAGTAAATTTTTATTTACTGATGTATAAAAAATGATTGATTGTTAAATTAATTGCGTTTTAAAAATGATTTTTAATTGAAAATATAAAACGTACTAAAACACGTTACTAAAATTTAAAATGATTACCGCTATGTAATCAAAACTTGAAACTAATTTAAGAAACGTTATCGAAACTGAGATGAGCTGAACAGTTCCTCAGTTTCACTTTATGTAAATTTTAAAATTAAAACTTTGTGTGATTTTTGATTATAAATGAGTTCTTAAAAATAGTGTAAACCATTTTTACAGTATTATTGTATATTCCAAAACTGAAATATTGTACTACAAACTTTTCGATAAGGTACAAACAAATTACTTTAATTTCAAATTTAAAAATTTAAATAATAATTAAAATTAAGTCAAATCTTTAAAATCGTTTTAGCCATTTCTTTGTATTATACGTCACTCATAAAAAATAAATGTTTACATAATGAAATTAAAATCAATTATCTGTAAATTATAACTTGTATGTAATTTCATTCGAAATTAATTTTTTCTTTAATAAACTTAGTGTAGTCATGTTTTAGTACATTTTTGAATCGTTTTTTGTTTTAATTTGTATATAAAGTATTCCTGAAAATTTTTCTGTTTCTTTAATTTTTGTTTTTAAAATTAAAATATTTTTATCTCCAGTAACATTTTTTTAAATATTTTTATTTCAAAAAAAAATTGTCATACTAAGAAAATAATTCAAATTATGAAGCAAAATATTTATTTGTGAATCTTTTTTTTTTTTTTTTTTAATGGTAAAATTTAAATAAACTTTTAAGAAAAAGAACAGTACAAAAAATAAAAATAATTGCCTAGTTTAAAATTAAGCAATAAAATTAAAATAAAAAAAAAAATAGAATGATAAAGCTTTTTTTTTTTGAACACAGACTATAACTCTATAATACATAATTAATATAGTGAAAAAAAAAAAAATTATCAAAATTTTTTTTTAAGTAGCACAAAAGTTTTAAATGCCCATTCATTGAGTGTTGCTTTTATAATTTTCATAAAATGTGAAAATTAACTATGTGAAAGAAAGTTAAAAAATAAAATTTAAACTTAAATGCATGGAACTATGATTTTCAACAAATAAAATCAAATGTGTATACAAAGCAAAGCATTTTTTTCATGTTCCACATCTGTTTGCATTCCTATAAAAAAAAAAAAATTAAAAATAAGAATTATAAAATGTCTGTCTAACACAGAAATAAAAAAAAAAAAAATTGTAAATAGTGAAAAAATACAAACAAATATCTTGTGAGATCTTCTATATCAACTAGCATGGAATCCTGTTCCATATGTAAATCATCTCTTCCAATCAAATATCTGACTAATTTTTCATTTAAAAGTTTTATTTTTGCATGAAGCTCATTTGCAATTATTTGAAGCTGAGCAATGTTTAATTCAGTTAGAACTTGCCTACTCAATCTTCTCTTTTCTGGACAAAATGTTATTCCAACCTAAAAATTTTTATTTTTTAGAAAAAAAAAAATGATATTTAAAGTAGAATTCAAGCTTAGCATGAGTTCTATTAAGATTTTAAAATTCTACTATCAAAAAAAAAATAATTGATTTTAATTTTATGATTTTTAATATTATAAAACTTAAGCTAAAAGTTCAGACTTTTACAAAATAAGTTAATAGTTTATTTTCAGAAAATTAAATGTTTAAATTATGTAAAATATTATTATTATAATTTCTGGTTTACTATCATATTCAATTTTAAAATGTTTACTAATAATTACCTTTAAAAAACTGTTTTTAATGATATCAGTGATTGGACTTATATCTTGTTTTTGTTTTTCAAGTTCCATCTCCATATGAGCCATTTCTTTAGCTTGTATCAAAGCTGATCTGGCTTCTGCTTGAAGTTGGCTTTGAAAAGTGATAAAGTCAGTTTCAAATAATATTTCATTTTTAAATACTTTCTTTTGTGGTGGTGGCATGTTTGAAATTGATTTAACTGGTTTACTTCCACCTGATGCAATTTTACCAATAAAATTTTTCTACATCAAAAATGAAAAAATGAATTTATTTAATGAGATAATTACTTATTAAAGAGTGCTAAATGATAAACAGTCATACTTTTATAATTAATGAATCAGGTCTTGTAAATTGATGTTTTTCATCAATAAAATTTCCAGAGTTTTCAAAAGAATTATTTTCTACTTCAGGATCAGATGTTATAGATTCATTGTCTGATACATTTTCATTCATAAAACAAATTTGTAAGTTCATTCCACTTTGAAGTCTAGATTGCAAGCTTGGCTTTTTGTAAACTTTTTCTCCATTATAATATTCATCATAATCAGATTCCATAGCTAATTTTTTCCTAATTTCTTCTCTGTCTGTTTTTCTCTTTATAAAAAAAAAATAAATAAATAAATTATTGAAAAAAAAATCATTTTTTAAAGTAGTTAAAGTAATTAAAAACTTACACTAATATTTCTGGTAATGTTAGACATTGATGTAAATCTCTCTACAATATCTTCACTTTCTTCTTTTTCAAAGTCCAAGATTCCTTTACTTAACCAAGTCATGTTTTTGGAAACTGATTCTGACCAATTTAGATCAGGAACTTTATTTATAAGAAAATGGGATGGATTAATAATGTTAGTCATGTTAAACAAATATAAATAAGAAATTTGTATACGGAGCCAAAGATACTATTTTCATTTTTTCGATAAATATTACTGATAATAACATTAAAACTTTGAAATAAATTATATTTTATTAGTCATGGAGCATCTTTTTTTTACTTGATATAACTTTTTTTTGCCTAAGAAGTTTTTTAAAAAAATGTATATTTAACTCATTGATTCAATAATTTTTAAAAAAAGAACTGCAACAAATTGATCTGAAAAAAAAAATAAAAATGGCGGATGGTTTAAGCTCAAACTTCAAGTCTATTGTACTCGCATTTTTTATTGTCGAACCCAAATTCTAAAACAATCAGTTACGATATACATTTAAATATTTCAATTTTTTTTTATAGCTACAAGCCCTATTTTACAATATCACTTTTATATTACTGGGTAAAACATAAAATTACTTCATTCAACTAAGTATTATTTTTGCTTTAAGTAATGTTAAAGTTGCTTTAGTTAAAATTCTTTTTAATGACTGAACGTACTTCAAGTTTTGCATCGTATTTTAGGGAAGCGATATCGGTAATGAGGTAGTTTATCGATCGAATTAAAAATGCCTATTTTTAAGCATAAAATGTCAGCTTGCGACATTCAAGTTGTTAATCAGGCAGCTTTGGAAAAAATTGAAAGGTTACTATTTAATTATATTTGTTTAATTTGAATTATTGGTTTTTATTAGTCATCAAGTGTTTTTAGAGAAAAAAAAAAAAAAAAAAAAAAAAAAAGTAGTTACTAAATTTAAGTTATTTCAATTCATTACAAATTTAAATAAGTTTCTGTTTTTAATAATTTTAAGTTTTATAAACGACCCGGCATACTGCGAGGTCCTCGAAAGCTCTGCTGGCTATAATTCTAGAATATGCATTGAAAGGAGATTAAGAATGCCATTTTTGGATAGCCACACTGGTGTTGCTCAAAATCATTCAGACTTATTTAAAAATAAAAGACAAAGAATGCCAGGTTTTTTGCAAGGTCAAATTTATACTTACCCTAGTAAAAGGTGGTGCAAAAGAAGAAGACAATATTTAATGAATTGGATGAATCCAAGGAGGAAAGAGACTGATGATGGTGACTCAAATGTAGGTGATAATCCAATTATAAATGAGGACAGCAAAGATAGTTGTATAATCAAAGATGAAAATGCCAAGGTAATGATTTTTTAATAAAAATCAAAATTAAGGGTTCATTTTGTTTTGTTTGTTTTTTTTTTCTCTTTTTTTGTAAGCATTATATTATTTTAAATAGGATTCTTGGTATTATGATGATGAAATGATAGAAATGGATGGTTATGACGAACCTGATCCTGACTCCGATTTCGATTATGAAGATCATTATAGAGGTAGAAGAAAAAAAAGATCTAACAAACCAGGTGGAAGAGGGAGAGGTAGTCGCACAAGTGCAGCCAGTTCTCCTAAAGGGGACATGGAAATTTCAGTTAGCGGAGGAAGGGGAGGAAGAGGGAGGAAAAGAGCATTATTATATGATATGGATAATGACAAGCCCTTTGCATGTGAATGTAAGTGCTTTATATGATTTTTTTAAATTAATATTAATATTATAAGGTAAGGAATTTTAACTTCAGGTTTTTTTAATGATTTTAGCCATTAAAATTTTAAGCTTTTAAGAAAATTTTTTTTTTTTTTTTATTCTTTAGATTTTTATTTCAATTATGAGGTTTACTTTAATTTATCATTTTACAATTTTTGAGCTAATGATGAATGGTAATTCTGAAATATTTATTTTACTTACTTACTTTAAAGACTTTTTCTCTTTGTAATCTTGGTGTGGATTAGCATACATTAGTCTTCACTGTAAGGGCAAAGAGACATTAATTTCAAAATTTAAACTCAGAACAATCAATAGAGATCAATGATTGTTTTTAAAAAAAATTTTGTATCATTTCTTTACTCTCAAGATTCTATTTTCACTTTAATTCTGATACTTTTCATTTTATATAAATTAAAGTAAAAGTTTGTAAGTAAAAAAATTATCTTAAATGTCATTGATGTGACTTTAGTAATCTGATAGCTCACATTATTAAGCTTTAAAGCTCAAATTCTGTAATCCCATTGAAAATATTAACAAATGTTTCATGCATATTAAAATTTGTATTTTAAAATTTTTAAAATATTAGCTCCAAAAAATTACATTTGATTAAACAATAGAATCATATTCTAAAAAAAAATTTTTTATATTTTATTAATTTTTTAGTTCTGGTTTTTTTGTGTGAATAATTTTGGGAGTAAATGTTTTTATAAATTTTTTCTTGTAATACTTTAATTTTGTGAAACATTTTATTAGATAATTTATTAAGTAGATTTATTATTTAAAAATCATAAATAAAAATGTTTCTTGCTATTGTTTGAAATTTCTTAAAGTTTTGAATTGTAAAAGAAATTTTCATAACTTGAAAAAAAAAAAAAGTTGATTTTATTAATGCTAGTATACTAACTAAATCAATTATCATTATTACTATTTTATTATAAAAAGGAAAATTAAATAGGATAATTTTTAATATTTTAGGTGTTGTTGAATGATATTTAATGCTATTTATGAAGTAATTTGAGAGAGAAAAAAAAAAAAAAATTATCATAAAAATTTATAATTGATTTTATTTCCGTGAATTTTTGTTCTTTTTTTATTTTAATGTTACAGGGAAAATGACTATCACTTAGTGTGGGATCGATACACCATCAAAGGGACACAGTAGGTACAAATCTAATTTACGATCAAATGGACGATGACTTGTCAGACTATTTTTTCCAAAAAAAAAGTAAAATAATATTTTATATTTGACAAACGTATTTCTGGGCATTTATATCGGTAAGATTTTCGTATTACTGCCATTAAAATGAAAGAAATGTTTTTATAATTTTACTTTAATTGGGTTCTTGTAGCCTTTCAAATTATTTAAGCTTTATTTATTTATTAATTTAAAATTTAAAAAATTATCTTTATTCTCCTTTACAAACGGTTTTGATTACAAAAAGAAAATCTTTTTTTTTTTTTTTTTTTTTTTTTTTTTTTTTTTC